CCCAAGAGACATTTTTTGTTTAGAATGAAACAGGCTATCGGAAATAAATTTTTAAATGGTAAACAAATAATAAGACAAAAAGTTACATTGGAAATAAATTTTAGGGGTTGCGTTTTCCACCCCTTACAACCATGGGGTAAACTAAATAAATATCTGTGTCTTTTTGGTGGTACAAAACGTCAGGTTGATTTCATATTGTAACTTTTTTAGTGTTTGTGAAAAAAAATTTTATACAAACTTTATGTACCCCCTTCAAGGGGCTGTATCTTAACAAGGGATGCTCCAATGAAATTTCTTCGGTTGGTTTTGGTATATTTATTATTAGTCTATTATATCCTTCCAAACTATAATAGGTTCTATCGGAAAGAACTATTTTTACAGCTTTTCTGAAGCCAGTGATGGACTGTATATTTTTGATATAATTTGGAAGGTGGTTGTACATCTTGCACTCGTTATATATAATGGAGTCCTCAACTAGAGTGAAATATGGTAAAGGTAGTTAGATATGGTCACTTTGGCGGGTGGCATATCTACTATCTGTAATGAAATTTTGTTTATGTTTATAAATGAGACACACTGTTTCAAGTATAAATATACACACTACCGTGAGAAGGTTATGTTGCTTGAAGTGAACTCTACACGAATCGCGAAATTTTAATTTACAGAGGTATCTCAGGGCTCTTTTTTGTAAAACAAAAACACTTTGAAGAACATTTCCACCGTACACTCCCCAGAATGGGATACCATATCGCAAATGTCACTCTATTAAGGAGTAGTATACTGATTTTGCGATTGTGTAACCTAGTTCTTTTGCAGCAATTTTTACAGCGTGACAACCAGAGGACAATTTTTCATTCAGGTTTTTGACATGTTCATTAAATTTGAGACCGTTGTCAATGTATAGTCCTAAAAATTTAGAAAACATACTGTTTTCAATGATCTGGTGGTGGATAGAAATATCAGATACTGCGCATTTGAAGGACACTATCTTGGTTTTTAATATTTTGAAGGATAAAAGGTTTGAGTCGCACCACTCTTTAACTTTTATTATATCTATGCACAGTTAACTGACAAGAGATGTCAAAATGTATTTTTACAGAAATATTGAATTTAGGTATCTATTTTATTATGAAAACAGGACAGTTGTACAAAAAATTTTGTATGATATTTGTGTTAAAAATAAGTTTTACTTTGTTCGTGAAATTGCTCAACTCACTACGCTCGTTTCGCAAACTTTTTCACTTACAAAATAGAACCTTACTTTCAACACTCATATCATAAATAGCTATTGCGATTGAAAAATAGTAATCTACAGCCAAAATTTCAATTTTACGTTTTTACTATCCGCATCATAATTTTTTTTTAGAAGAAGTCACTATCGACTAATGAATGAAATAATCGAGTTCATAATCTGGTGGTAATCAAATTACCACCCTTATATAAACCATGACCTAGGGGTCGTTCATGCACCAGCTAATCAATGAATGACCCTTCTTGATATAAAGAACGAATTTATTTTATTTATTAATTTTCAGTGGAATACAAAACAGGACAAACCCAAAAAGAGTATTCACAAATGCTGAGGTAAAAATAACAATAAATGGTTTGATTGTTATAAATGATATGCAATATTATGTTATGAACAGTGCAGTGCAGTTCAAATTACAATAGTTGGATATGAAAAGGCTGATTGTATGATATGAACGTTTGAGAGACGTGATGAAGGTTGCGAGGGAATTAGAAAAGATGTCATTTTTTACTGACTTGGATATAGAGTTGTAGGATTTACAACACCTATTCAGGGAAGATTTCAAATGGTAATTAGTTATACTTTTATTTGTTTGGAATGAATATAATCCTCTGGTATTATACATTTATCAAAAGTTGGTTCAATATAGAACTGCTGTCCAAACAATTATTTATTATTCACTTTCACAAGTTTCTCAACTTCTGAGAGTTGTCGTTCGTATGGGGGCGATAGCTGATTAACGGAAAAAAAGATTTTAAAAACAGATTTTTTATAGGAACTTGATATCAGCTACTTTACGTCTATCCGCCAAAGATATCAGATTGATTTGTATTCTAATTTGTAATGGACCTTTGAGATTATTGAAGAATTTTCTATTGATGTAGGTGACAAATTTGCTTTGTATAGATTAATCTTTCAGTATACGAGATATACAGGGGGTTCCAAATAACTGAAGCAGAACTGAACTAGCTATTTATATAAGCTATGTAAAGTGTACGAACATAGTTAGTATAACGGAAGTTTTGACAAGTCCTGATCAGAAATCCAAGAGCTTTGTTGGCTTTTTTTGCAATATAGTGAATATGCGAGTCAAATAATAGCTTAGAGTCATATAATATTCCTAAGTCCTTGACTTCAGATATTTTCTTCAGTTGCTGTTTGTTTATGTGATATTGGTGGTGGTGAATATTTTTGTTTCTTGTAAATGTAATAGAGTGGCATATTTCAAGATTAAGGAATAAAGAGTTTTTCTCGCAGAATTTCACAAGATTATTGATGTCGTTCTGAATAAGGAGTGAATTGTTGGAACATGTCGTCACCGTATGGAATACTTTCAAGTCGTCAGCATACATTAAAAAATCGCAGTAGGAGAAACAACTAGATATATCGTTAATATAAATGTTGAAAAGGAGAGGCCCCATATGGGAGTCTTGAGGGACTTCGGAAATAATAATAATGAATCTAGAACAAAATTTTCCCAGAGCGACTGCCTGAGACCTATTTGTTTTAGCAGATCACCGTGTATACCGATTTCGGTCAGTTGCATGATCTATCTTGTCGAATGCTTTGCTGAAATCGGTATAGATGGCATCAACCTGGTAGCCTTTATCCATGCTCTCTAAGATATATTCAGTATGAATAAATAAATAAATTGGTTTCAATCGAGCGATGTTTTACAAATCCATGCTGTTCATTATTGATCGAGGATCCAACATCAAAATGAACACTTTTCCTGTTTTCCTGTATCACTTCTTACTATCTATATTTTCCACTCGAAATGTGGTTTTCACTTTTCAAATGACTCCAATGGGAAAACTTCAGTAAAATAAGCAGATCCATATTATTGGGTCACTTGATTGACTGAAAAATGTCATCATCACTGGTCAGTTATCAACTGAAAACTTTGTACAGGTGCTCTGCACTAATTATGAACAGGAAATATGTTGAAATTGAATATGAAAACTATTGGAAAAGTACCCCTGAAAACACATAATGACTTTCCGTTCTGGAACAAAAAGAAAGAATCTGCTGCTACCTCAGTTGATCAACACGCTCTCTAAATTATTTATCCTCATGAATCGAGAAGTGTCAATATTGCTCAATGCTTGTGAATATTCAAACTTATCATTTGATAAAATTTCCGATGCAACCTGAAAAACGCAAGGGTTAAAATTGGCTCATTATCAAAAGCGAGTACAACAACAATAATGATTGCAACTAAGGTCAGTGATATATCACGTAAACAATATGTACGTGATTCTGTATAAAAAGATCGCCAATTTCGAGAAGATCAGGCTTGACGGATTGTTTGCGAGACAAACATGAAGATCTCCCTAGTGTTTTTGGTGGGTTTTTGCACAGCTGTGCTCTCGAATCCAGTTGGTAAGACAGTATTTTTATTTAAAGCTATCTTAGATTAGGTTTTGTTGCACTTTTCTCAATAAACGGTTGTCTAACATTTTTAACTTTATTCTGTTGTTTCAGAAACGATTGAAAATAATTTATTTGAGCAATAAATAACAAATATTCAGTCATAGGACTCCCTGGTATGTACAAAATTCGTAACTTTTCAGTCGTTTCAGAGATATTAGGCTGTCAATATTTTTTAAAGAGCTCCAAAACAGCAACTTTGTGATTTCTGATGAGTTCAATTTTTAGTTCAAATTATGAATTTGTTTCTCTATTTTTCAAATTCTTTGGATTGGCTACCAAAGACCATGCTGCTAAAACGACTAACATTTCAAAAAAAATACCTACTTTTAATGATTATCTATACTCGTTCTTGAAAAGAAATTTTATATTATTTTCTCACCTAGTTCCTGAATTAGGTATTGAATTGGTGAGGGAAACATCACAATTTTTTTTCAGTATTTATTGATGTGAACAAATTTTGATGATTACTGGAGTTCTTTTCCAACAACAAACCATTATTTTAACACCTCGACACGTGTTTCGATTATAAAGTGATCATCTTCAACAGAAAGATTAAATCTTCCTTTTCAATATGATTACTTAGTGATCGAAACTCCTGTCGGAGAAAATTGAATCTTCCTCTTGAAGATGATCAGTTGGTGACCGAAACATGTGTCGAGGTGTTGAAAATGACGGTTTGGTGTTGGGATGAAACTCCAGTAATATTCATTACTACACTGAAGGTTCCAAACAGTGTATCACAAGTGAACAAATTTTGTCTATAAGTAATTTCTGGTATCTATAGTCGAATCGAAGCAAGTAATATTCACTTATTTTATTTTTTTTTTCCGGAATCATTGACGTTAGGGTTGAATGTTGACGACGAGTTTTGATGATATATGATGNTTCAAGTCGTTTTCCATAATTGTTTCTTCTCGAAATAATTTCAAGGACTATTGACCGTCTATCTGAAAAAGTATTGCTTCTTCAATTCGGATAAATGGAAGACATTTGGGTTTGAACGAGTTAAGAATATCGTTTCATGAAAAATACTTTCAGTATTGTTATAAATGAGTATTTTATGATCAAATATAAATTTCAGCTGATACGAATTACCTTAAAAGGGAGCAACAAATACTGAAACTTCTGTATCATGTGAATCAACCAAGTACTTATCCAGAACACGTGGAGATCGGAAAATCGTGTATGTTCTGTGAAAAAGGATCTTTATATGATGTGAGTTGTCTAACAATCTGAAAATCGAATTGAAAATGTAATATTTGAACCTTTGCAGAAGTACGAGAAACGTGAAGTGGTCGACAATTGGGTACAATTTTGGAGATTTGGGCTACTCCCCAGGGGCGAAGTATTTTCAGTATTTTATGAGGAGCACCTGCGCCAAGCTATTGCTCTTTTTAAACTCTTCTACTACGCCAAAACTTACGACGAATTCCACAGAGTCGCAACTTGGGCACGCCAGAATGTTAACGAAGGAATGTTTGTCTACGCATTTTCCGTAGCTATCATCCACAGACCCGACTGTCGCAGACTTATGCTTCCTCCAATTTATGAAATCAAGCCCCACTATTTCTTCAACAAAGAAGTAATCAACAAAGCCTACTACTACAAGCAAGTACATAATTCTCGAGACGTACACCAAAACCCTGGAAGTTTTCCAGGATACACCATTCAGACAAACTACACCCATGACCACATGAATTTGGGACATGAACAGTCGTTGTCTTACTTCTTGGAAGATATTGATATGAATTCTCTATACTATTATTACAATCTTTACTATCCATTCTGGATGAGCAGTGAAGAGTTCGGATGGAAAGATTCGAATCGTGGATATCTTTACTATTTTGCTCACCAGCAACTGCTAGCGAGGTACTATTTGGAACGTATGGCTAATGGTGCCGGAGATATTCACACACTAGATGTAGATTCACCCATTCAGACACCCTATAATCCGTCCATGGTTTATCCTTGTGGAGCAGAATTTCCGAGTAGACCCAAATTCGCCAAATTGCATGAATATTTCTTCAACTATGGCAAAAAGTGGAGCTGGAGCAGATTTGGAACCAATAGCTTCGATTTCATGGCTGACTATGACAGGCGTATGAACGATGCCATCGACCAAGGATTTGTTTTTGATGTAAGTAATAGCTTAAACGACGTAGGAATTGAACTGTCCAGTACCAGCACTCTGTAAAGTATGAAAGTACCTAAGTTACTAATACCAAGTACGTCAAAGTATGGCAGTAAACAGTACCGAGAACTTACCTACCTCTACTCAATCAAGTGCAATAATTTTGTTTATGAGGTAGGTCGGAATGAGTTTCTTGGTTAACGGCTATCGTTCTCATATGGACAATAACCAAATTTCAGAGTAGGATGAATTCGATACAAATTAATAGATTTTCAGGAGATCAACTGTTTCGAGAATATAAAAAATATAAGATCGAATTCAATGGTAAATTGTAGATCAACGCATAGTGTTCAAGCTTGTCGCCTACTTGTCCGGCACAGCACAGCACGGCGCTGTCCGTCGCCTGATGGCGACGGGTAGTAGCATCGCCCACTTGTCCAGCTAGAACCAGCATACTGAAGGTGCGGTTTGTTCGATTTCGAGGGAGAGCGGTGACAGAAAAATGTCTATCATTAGCAGTTCTGACGAAGACGTCGTCATTATAGTGGCCGCATTATTGAATGTAGAAGAAAATAGTCACAAAAAGGAATGTTGTGGGTCCATCCCATTAATCAAAAGGGGGTAAATCTGGGAGAGTTTCATCATCTTTTCAACGACCTGAAAGAAGACGAGGAGAAATTTTTCCAGTATTTCTGAATGACTCCAGGCAAATTTTCAGAACTTCTGGATACTCTAGAGCCTGCCTCAACAAGCAAGTCAATTTCTCCTGTCCATTTTTATAGGTACCGTCTGACACTGTGGTGTCAACTGATGGAATAGATAAACAGACAGACAGAAACTCACCACGCACGATGTGACAAGTTGATGCTGGCAAGCGCTAGCCGGCGAAGAGCTCACTTGGCCAGTCCGTCACAGCACGTGCCGTTATTTGCCGGACAGGATCATAGAGCTAGAATCTTTTCTGGCGGCGGACGTTCTTGGCTGTGCCGTGCCGATCTAGTGGGCGGTTGTCCATTGATTTTCATTGTTTCAATCCTATACGTATTTTGATGGGAGGGCCGTGCTGTGCTGCGCCGGAGTGGGCGACAAGGTTTACTATGTAGTGTAATCTTACAAAAGAAAAGTCCAATCAATCAGTAGCTTATATTTACAATTTTTAGTGATTTATTGAAAGTATAATAGGTTCGAACTAGATGTTTTATGAAACAAAATGTAATTCATAATCTAAGCTAACTATCCAGATTTTCGGTTTAATCAACATCAAAATACTACATTTTTTCAATGCTGATGTGTTTGGGAGATTTTTGACAAATTTGTCGAACACTTTTCTACTTTTACATTTTTGCTCTAGTGAAAAATGTACAGTGTTTGCTTTTTTTTACGAATATCTGAAGGAAAAACACTCCACTAGTAAGTTAATCTTTTTACTTCTCAGCTTTTTACTCTCAGCTCAGCTCATAAACTAGCGTTCTCCATTCGATTCCGTAGTGTGAAAGTCAATCATTTTTAGAAATATGGAGCGATAAGTAAAATAAAGATGACTAAGAATAAACTTTATATTTGTATTCACAGACCAAAGGCAACAAAATCGAACTGGACACTCCCGAAGGCTTTAACGTTCTTGGAAACCTCATCCAAAGCAACTGGGACAGCCCTAACCGCAAATTTTACGGAGCATTATGGAGTTATCTTCGCCATTTCTTCGGTTATTCTTATGCGCCAGTGAATAACTACCGGGAGGTTCCTTCAGCTCTGGAGCACTATGAAACATGCATGCGAGATCCTATGTTCTTCCAAATAGCGAAGAAAATGATTATGAAATTCCAGAGGTACCTTTCCGATCTACCACCGTATACCGAAGAAGAGTTGCTGTTCCCAGGAGTTTCAGTTGAAGGTTTGGAATTCGATCCGCTTATCACATATAACGACTGGTCCTATTCTGACCTGACCAACGGCGTGTTCTATAACAACCAGGAAGACGCCAAAACTTTCGACATCAGAGTGCGACAGTATCGCTTGAACCACAAACCGTTCACCTACAAGATCAAAGTCACCTCGGACAAAGCCCAAAAAGCAGTTGTGAAAGTTTTCATGGGACCTGCATACGACAAAAACGGTGAAACTATGTTTTTGAATGAGAACCGATTGAACTTTTTGATATTGGAGCATTTCGTACACGATCTCAAGGCTGGAGAAAACGTTATCACTCGCAGTTCCCACGAAATGAGATTCTACGCTCCTGACAAAATGTCCTTCAGAGATATGTACAAGAGAGTGAAAGCTGCTCTTGAAGGAGATGGGGAATTCAAAATTGACGAAAGGCAGAACTACTTCCATTGGCCACAAAGGTAAGAATGATAATACGATGACTTATGTGTGAGGAAATGATTTATTTCGTATTGTTTATCGTCAGTTAAAGGTCCAGAATGCGAATCTTCAACTAATTTAAATCAAGTTTCTATAGAAGCTTCAGACCTGCCTGCAACACTTTTTTCCTGGCCCTGGTTTGGAACATGATCAAGAGTAGACACTTACATCACCTCATGATTCGATTAGATAGGGGGTGGATCTAAAGTGAGCGGTTCTATTCGACTCTTCATGACAACCCCCGATGGTTCATTTTGGCTTGAACCCACTCAGACACAACCAAATGGAACCACCTTCCCAATTGAGCTGATTACTTATTCGATGAGTGATTTTTCAGATCAGTTGGCAAGGTGAAACTCTGCAAACGGGTAAATCTGATCCTGTCCACGACAGGGTAGATACAGCTTATGTGCTCTGAAATTTCATTTTGGAAAATATAACACTCTAAAATTAATAGACTATGGAATCTAGAAAGGACTTGATCGATGGTGAGTCGACTATCTTCATTAGGTTGGTGAGCAACACAAATGCTAAGTTCATGATTTCAAGCTTCTTGATTTGACTATTTTCTGTGAGGTTCCCTTTCCCCCTTCCTTCTGATTTCTAGTTCTTGAATTTCATGACTACTTTCAACTTTCAACATCGCTTCTCTATCTCTGGTTCTTTCGAGTGGGTTGGATTGAGTCGAAATTGTTTTTACTTCAACCAGCTGTCGTCTCGATACGAATAGATTTTACCGTGTGATTGGGGCAGTTGTGATTCTCAGTACGGATGTTTCCATCAACAACATAGCCCAGATTTATAAAAATCAATTCGTGCTCCACTGGAATGTTTTTGCAACGTGTTTCCAGCAAATATATTAAGCAAAATATATCTAGATCCCTAACGATATCGAAAAGCTTATCTCAGATAGCAAGAGTAAAACCAAATCCTGCTATATGCTGGAAACCTCATTTGGACCAAGGTAGGGTAGGCACAGAGTATATGCTCTGCTGTTTCATCACCATCCAACCAGACAGTGACCTGAAAGTAGGCCTGTTAGACGACGTAGACCATTCCTGCTATATTCGAACAATGTTTTGGTTATGTACTCCGATAGATGTAGAATTACTTTGAAAGGTGTCAATCTTGGTAGTTTTTACCAGTCGTTTGAAACTTTTCATGCAGCCCAGAAAATCAGTGTTTATTTGGAAAAGCCTGAAGCAATACCAATTATAGGTTCTGGTTCAATGAAACTGCTCACACTAGAAGTTGATATTACTGATGAAACCATATTTGAATAACGACCAGAAAGATTGATGCCTTCCGCTTGAACGTGAAATGTGACTACATTCCTCTTGCTCAAACAGCAAAGAACTATGATACAGTTGTGAACATAAATACTCTCCTCGCCAAAACGACAACAAAAAGGCAGAGAAACCGCCTTTCGCTCCAATGAATTTTTAAATGCATGTAGACGACAACTAGACATTTCCATATTTATTCTGATTAACTCGTTCACATACTTACCTCAATTGAAACGGTAAACAATAATATGAATATATGAATTTTCCAGATTTATGCTACCAAGAGGTTCTTCAGCTGGTACACCATACAGATTCTTCGTTATCGTTTATCCATACGAGCCTTACCATGAAGGAAAATACGAGACTGATGGAATTCCTGCTCCTGGTAGTGGTGGCGTTTTCATCGACAATCGAACCGCTGGTTTTCCATTCGACAGAGTGATTCGGTTTGAGAAGATGTGGTACCCACTTGCCAACGGACAATTCCAGGAAGCCAAAGTATACTTCAAAGACATCTACGATATTAATGCTCCTCATCATTAGACTGGAAATTGACCGATACTTTTCGATATGCCGGATTATGAAATATGTGAATATTGTGAAATGAATTAAATATGTATTGAATGAATTAATGAATCGCAAGAGTTTTTTTTTCATGGACGTGTGTGAGTAACTGAACGTATCTCCAGTAGAACACAAGTTTCCAATTCAGATATAATTAATTACCTGTCACAAAAAGTAACGCACTACTTCATTAATGACAAATGAAATATTCACCAATGAAATGTTCTGGATTCAATCGAAACGAATTGTTTACCAATATAACAAAATCCACCCAGGAATAAAAACGGTATCCATGAGTAGCTGAGGAAATATTGTAGTGAAGATAAGTAGAAACTGGGCTTTTAGAAGTTTTGCTTTTAGATTTATGAAGACGCAATGAAAAAAATATCTCTTCATCACATTTTGAACCAAAGTGAATTGAAAAATGTCATCGAAGCCAGCGAGATTCGACTCAGCATGAGAATCATACGGCCAAAGTATTGAATTTAGGTACTCGTAGAAAAAAACAAACAATTGGGAAATAGAATTGAACAAATCAGGAATAACGTAACCAAGGAAAACAATATTGTGTTCGGTATAACTACACCCAGTCAAGCATTTACTGCTGATTTGATTTGTTGGGAACTTGATGATCTCATATGAGTAGACCTGATAGGTTGATCAGATAATTTTTCCAATTCAGAATGAATTCACACATAATCTCAAGAAAAATAAGATTTTCTAATGTCGAAGAATCTCTCAAAAGACGAACAATAAAAACGGAGAATTTTGAGACGTTAACTTGAAGAATCAAATCTTCATTAATCTAGTCTTTTTCAACTAAAATAACTTTTTTAATCCTTTTCTGCCAGTGTTCTTCGGTAATATTAGATACTTCCTCTTCAATTAGCTCTATTACCTTCTTTTCAGATTTTGGAAAATTATTTTTACGCCTGATGCTCCGTTACAATTTTCCCTAGATCGACTCAATGGATTGAAAAAAAATTAGGGAAAAGTCTCAGTATGGTGTGTCCATACTTTTCAGCAATACTCTTGAAGGCATACACCTTTTCAAATGTTTTTGTCTGTGAAACTTTAAGTAGTTAGTTTTTGGTATAGTAATGTTCAAAATACAAATTGTTATCCATTAAAAAACTTTGTATTTCATCTTTCCTCGGATTTTTATTCGGTACTTTGATGAGTTGTCGCGAATGATTGATAGCGTTGTCAAGAACTATAACATTATTCGAATCTAAATTTGGGATCAATGAGCTTTCAAACCATTCCTCAAAAATATTAGCTTCTAGTTCTTATTTATTTATTTATTTATTCAATACCAATACAAAAAGCCCATTTACAGGTGTATATATTTAGAAATATGATAATTATACATATAGTGAGATTAATTTTGAATGAAACAAAAAATCTCTTTTTTGGATTGTTTGAACGTTGGAAAAATATATCTACACTAGGAACATTATTAACACATTATGATAGTCAACATTCCAGACTTCAAGTTTTTTTCCACATAATTTTAAAGAATTCGGCACCTATCCTTCAGTTCCTTCGCAATGCATAATGATAAGTCGCGATCCTTTGTTTGCAGGCATGTTGAGCGTACACATTCTCGAACTATCAGTCCACCCTTTCGTCACTGTGTCGTGAGTGTCATACCAAGTTTCGTCCAAATAAAAATTTTGCCGTTGTTCTTGTCTATATTTAGTTATTTGTTCTTTGTATTTGTTACGTTCTTCCACTATTCTTCTGCTTTCCATAATTGCTTGATGTTTGTTTTTTATTTTCAATCTAAATCCTAGTTTCTTTATCCGATTCTGAAGAGTTTAGTCAGCAACTCACATTATGGCCGGAAGTATTGAATTTTTCCCTTATGATTTCAGTTGTAGGAGGGTTTCAAATTTGCTATCTGTATGGATGACGCTAAATTGGAATTTTTCCAAACACAAAATTCTCTTCAAATCACGTTTTCAGTTGTAACTTCCAGGCTCCGTTTACTGTCTCAACACAACTGGGTCCATAACCTTTTCAACGTTAGGAGGGTTTCAAATTTGCTATCTGTATGGATGACGCTGAATTGGAATTTTTCCAAACACAAAATTCTCTTCAAATCATGTTTTCAGTTGTAACTTCCAGGCTCCGTTTACTGTCTCAACACAACTGGGTGCATAACCCAGTTATGGATTTGAATGAAATATACATTTGTTCTAACTATTTTAATAAACTTTGATGAGTTATTCAAAAGTAAAATATGGCGACATACATTACACCTTTTTCTCTACTGTACCAACTTAACTTTTCTTACAAATGACAAAATGACAGAATTGCCAACTTGAACTATGTTTATATTAACAGTTTTTGACTATTTTACGTACAGTTGAGAAAGGAATTTCGGTCAAATCTGATATTTCTTGTGATAGTTTGTTTCTCTCGAAACCAAACTTGAGATGTAGATTCTTATTTACATTGAAACATATTCTCTCTGTATTTCAATATTCAAATGCATAAGAATCTTATTCACTGGTATCTCTTTCTCACATTATTCACCATCGCTATTGGAATCACTACACCGGAAAAAGTCTTCTTTGTTATCACACTCGTTATTACTATTAGCACTTGTCCAAGGACGCCACATTTCAAACAGATAACAAAAGTTTTAAGTAATTATAACTGCACCAATATCGAATTTCAACACTCAAATCGCGATCATTTCCTGAACTGAACATTGACTAAACGACTCTTATAACCATCCTCGCATTACATTCGTCACCGTAACATGACTTCAAATTTAATTTTATGACTCTCCAGCCAATCATAAAACTCAATTGGCAATAATATTCCAATACGAACCGCCTAGTATACAGTCCGCGTGGACTAGTTGGCAGCGGCTTCATTTCTCTGTATTGGCTTTTTTGGCCTTTGAGATTGCCGACAGCTTTAACTATGTACAATACCGGTTACTTCGACTATACCGTAATGTTCGATTTACCGGCCACAAATAAGTGAACGGTAAGTTGATTTACTGGACAGAATTAACCTTCATAAACTCTAGCGGGGTACAGCTGAACCCCAGACATGAATTTTTGGGTATATTTTCTAATATATTTTTTTTTACCTAATATCCTTCGAGCTATGCTTCTTAAATATATGTCTAAATTGGTATACAAAATTTTTTAGAGGATGGTTCAAGTGATATTGAGGAGACTGACATAGTGACTGAAACTGATGAGATAGATGACGTTTTACAAGTTAGTGATAGGGAAAATGAGTCGACAGATTCTGCAGATGAAGTAGGCCCGTCAATAAACTTTTATACAGATCATCCAACTTATTCGTCTAAAGATGGTAGTGTGTGGGCAAAGGTTCCTTTTACTACGAACATCAAGAGACGAAAATGTAATATTCAGAAGGTTTCACCAGATTTCACTAGATATAGTTCCCAATTTTCCACCATAAAAGAAGCTTTTGAACTATTTCTTTCACAATATATTATGGATGTGATTTTATCGGAGACAAATAGTAAAGCCGAATCATATTATGTGAGAAATGAGAAGGCATTTTCTCCTTTTGTGCAAGAAGAACTGGAAGCGTTTATTGGTTTGCTTATTATTTTTGGAGCCTGGCACACTGCTATAGAGCCAATTTGTGTACTTTGGAGCCAAGATCCAACTTTGTGTCGGCCTCTAGTACCATCTGCCTTGTCTCGCAACAGATTCCAAAAGATTCGACAATTTTGAAACAAGAGAAGAAAGAAAACGCACTGATAAATTGGCCCCAATCAGAGATGTTTTTGATGGTTTTGTAGCAAATTGCAAGAAATCTTTTAATTCATCTGAACATTTGTGCGTGGATGAGCAGTTAGTCCCATTCCGAGGCAAGGCCCCTTTTCGGGTTTACATGAAGAGTAAGCCGGACAAGTACGGTTTGAAAATTTGGGCATTGGCTGATTGTAGTTCAGCATATATAGTGAATATGCAACCTTATTAAGGTAAGTTTTTTGATGAAAAAAATGTAGATTTTGATTACAGAATAATTATTTTAGGCAAAGTAGGAAACAAACCGGAGAAAGGCCAAGGACAAAGGGTAGTGTTAGATCTGGTAAACCATTCATCTTCAGGATATGGAATAACTACTGATAACTTTTTTACCAGTATTGAGTTAGCTAATATGTTTTTAAATAAAAACCTTACCTTGTGTAGTACACTGCGTAAAAATAAAACTTGTATTCCAAAAGAACTACTTCCAGCAAGATATAAGAAGGACTTTTCAAGCATGTTTGCTTTTATGGAAAATAAAACCTTAGTTTCCTACGTACCAAAAAAAATGCGGCAGTTATTCTTTTATCGACTGAACATAACGATGACAAAATAAGTGGAGAAGAAACTAATTACAAACCAGACATTATCTCACAATACAATAAAACAAAGGGTGCAGTGGACACAACAGATAAATTAGCGAAGGATTTCACGACACAAAGTAAAAGTAATCGGTGGCCAATGGCAATATTTTTTCATCTGCTAGACGTTGGTGGCATCAATGCCTATAAACTTTGGATGTTGAAAAATCCAGATTGGAAAAAAATCGCTTGGATAGGAGAAGAATGTTTTTGTTGGAGTTGGGCCAAGAATTAATTAGGAAAAACATAATTCGTAGATACCAAAATGACAAGTCGTTACATTCCAATATAAAACAATCCATCATAACCATTTTGCCAGAATTAAACGTAAGGAACGAACAACCTGTTCCCGTTATTGGCAGAAAGCAGCGATGTTTCTTATGCGAGAGAAGTAAAGACAGGAAATCTCGAAAGTTTTGTATTCGGTGCAATCAATTCGTGTGTGCAGAACATTCAAAAAATATAACAGTTTGTAACAGGTGTGATAATTAAATCATTATTTAAATTGTCACTGAAGTTCTTGAACTTTTTTCATAATTATTTTTGTTTTTATTATTCCTAATCTTTTCATATTATTTTTTCAAAATGTCTTTACTCATTTATCAATGCTGACAATTATAACATTAAAAAAATAATAATAAGCCAAAAAAATGTTGGGGTGCATTTGGACCCCACTCCGTATT